TGTGTCGCTGAATGTGTGCATTGATGACTGAAAGACATCTTCTGCCTCCATTTATCTGTTTACTGCAGTGTGTTGAATTCATGTTCATGTGGATTTAAACACATTTCAATTAGTGGGAAATTGCAGGGGGGAATAAAAAAAAAGTCAAATCAACCAAAACGTTCAGGACCCCCATGCAGTACTTCTGTGGGCCCCCTAGGGGTGGCGGACCCCCTGTTGAAGACCTGTGCAGTAAAGTATAGAAGATATTAGGGAAATTGTTACAGGCTCAGGAAAAACATTTAAAAACAGCATGTTTTAGGTGTTCAGATTTATTATCCTTTAAAAATCATTATTCAGTTGTCGGAGAGCGTATTACTCCTGAAGATTTGATCAGCCATACAATAAAATATAAGAAGATACGATGTATTTTCAAGATCCCTATGTCTTCTTTTCTTTCAGATGAATATATGGAAAAATTTTTGGAAGTGAATAACGAAAAAGCACAGACTGAATCTTTTCCTTATGACTTCACAGTCTGTATTTCTACCATGTTTGATTTCACCAATGTGCTTCAGGTAAATCAAACTGTCTTTCTGGTAATAGTAATTGTTTTTGATACAATTCCAAATCACAGACTCCATGCAGACTGCCCAGTTCAACTCTCCTGACCCTCTGAGCATATATTTTTGAAAGTACTACAAATTTCTTTTTGCTTGCATAAAAGAACTGTCCTTTTAAATTATGGAGCCCTTTAGTAATTATATTTAATTTTGTGTTTTACAATTTGTTTTTGCTGCACCATTTGTTGGTAAACTTCATGCTCTTGTTTGTTTACCCAAACAAGACCATGTAACGAATGTGTGCTACAACTACAGAAGGTAGCAAGGCAGCAAAGCAAATCAGCATTTCTCCAGCAGGGGTGGGGGAAAAAAAAAAAAAAAAACAGATGCCAAGATGGTAAGATAAGATGTGGGTTGTGCCATGAATACAATAGGAACACTGATGCTCACTGATGTGGGAGATAAAGAACCAGAAGGAGGCAATTTGATGGATTCACGATAAAGTAAAACGGAGAAAAGCAGTCTTTGTCATCTGCTAATCGTGCCAAAAATTGCTTTTAGGCTCAAAAAGAGTTAAGTAAACACAATGGACATTGGAAGAATATTTAATTAATTCAACATGAATTTTAGGTTTTCTGTGTTTTTTGCATCCATAGTATGTGACAGTGCTCCTTTAAAACCTATTCTGCTATCACATAGCAAGGATTAAAATGCAATGTTCCAAAACATATGTTTGCTTTAATGTGTCAAATAAGATCTTTCTCGTTTGAGACACTGCTAAGTCCATTTTTAATATTGTCATTTTAACATCAGGGTCTAAGTCTTGACTGTCTTTATCTTCCCCAAACTTGCCAATGAAGGGATTGACAAAATCCACTCCCCATGTCTTCAAAGGACACAAAGAAGACATGACCCTTTCGGCCTGGGGAAGCTTTTTTTGAGTTGTCAAAAATTGCTATAAGTTCAGATAGGCTTTGTACTTGTACTCGTCATCTTATACACTTATGCAGGTCCAGGCCTCTAATGGTACTTGCCTGGAAGACCTCCTGAGGGAGGCGTCCAGGAGGCAACTAAGAAAGATGTCCGTGCCACCTCAGCTGACTCCTCTCAATGTGGTTTATTCCGAGCCTTTCACAGGTGTCTGAACTCCTAGTCCTGTCAATTGGGGAGTGCCAAGACATCCTGTTATGAAAGGACATTGCAGTCGCTTGTTTTTTGGATCTTGTTCTTTAGGTCATGGCCCAGATTTCATGACCAAAGGTGGAGGTAGGATTAAATTGAGAGCATTGGTTTTTTGCTCAGGTCTCTCTTCACCATAACAGAGTGGGCAATATGTGGTGTCTACATTATACCATACCGATCTGTCCATCAATCTCCTGCTCCAATGTCCCTTCACTTGGGAAATGATCTCCAAGATACATAAATGGTTTACAAAAAATGCTTTCCAACTTGTTCAAAGATTTTTTTCCCATGTCCAAGTTTTTGCTTCTGGTACCATGGAAGCTGACAACCTTCTGCCCAGTGGATACCTTTCTTTATAAACAAAGAAATCTGACAGGTTATTTTTTCACATTTATGTCTTCCATTGCACCTGGCTTCCACAAGAATAATCCCCAGTTTTTGTTTGACGGCATCAGTTACCTTTAGCCATCAATTTTCGACAAGTGACATGTCCTTTGGAGAAACTTGGCATGTGATTTCATGTCCACCATAACTCTGGATGGGGATAAATCTCTCTTGGTGGTATGAGTTAAATTTTGTGTTTAACCAGATGTTCACCAATCATCTACAACCCATTTCTGGCTCTGAAATACGGGGGCATTCCTGAATTGTCTGTTGCAACTCTCTTTGGGTAATTCTTGATTAAAAGAAAGTCTAGCCTCCTTCCAATAGATGGAATCTAGAGCCCAGGGTGTGTGGTGGTTCATCCAACCATGTATAGTTTTTTTTCCAACTCACAAGCCAACTGTAGGTCCTTTTAAACACTATGCTGATATTTTTTGTCTACTTTTATGGCCAGTTAAGTAGCACACACACCCATGGACAACCTAGCTTACACTGGACCCAACATCGCCATATCTCCCTGCAGGTGGTGGTGGTTAGTTGCTGTGGAGGGGGCTCCAGTGGGAGCATGACTAAAAGGTAGAGTGTCCCACTAAAGGTTTGGCTGCAGGCCGTTACCCTGGTTTCCCTGCTCCTGATGAGGTTTACCACCCTCTGTGATTTTTAATGAACATGTTACCCTTTACCTGATCCCTTATCTGAGGCTTAATCATACCTGTTGGTCAGCAAACCAGGTGGCCAAGCTCTGGCCGGTCTTATCCTTACAGTCATCCATAGTCATTAATTTAGACGATAATATCATGGGCTTCAAAGTAACCTTTGGTAACACTTACCTTGCTGCAGGGAGGTCCCGGTTTAAAATTTGACTGCATGGATTTTGTCTGTTTCGTGGGTTCTCTTCACATTCTTCAGCTCTTTAGTCTAGTAACATGCCTTTTAGTTAAATGGTCTCTGTAAAATGCATCGTTTTTCTGTCCTTTGTGTTTCTCTGATGGATTATCCTCTGGCTCGAAGACAGAAAGGCCCCAAATCCTCTCCCCTAGTTTATTTGTTTGGTCTATTATACACAATTGCATGTCAAGTTAAGTTTTTATTTGCTCGTTTGGTTTTATTTGGTATTGAAAGAGTTGTGTTGTCTTGCAGCTGGTGCAGAGTTTCGAAATGCTTCAGTTACTTGGAGTGAACAAAGTTTTTGTCTACAAAACCAACTGCAGCGAAGAAACACAACGTGTTCTGGACTATTACTCAAGCAAAAAAGGTACAGTTGTATAGAGTTAAAGTAATGATCTGTGTCTTGAATGCCTGCCTGAATCCAACATGTTCATTATTCTTAAAACACCTTCATCTTAACAATATTTGTGGGTGGCTGCTTACAATCCATATCATGACTCTTGTGTTCTGAATTTTGCTAATTAAAAATTGTAACAAAAAAAGGTAAGTAATTCAGAAGTTAAACCATTGGCTCTGGCTGTTCTATGGCAATCCTCTGGCAGTCCTCTGGAGACTTGTTGTATTTCGTTTCTGAGTTTGTTAATTGTTGGCGGCATTTCTGCCTCCTAGTGTAAGGTTGGTCCGCCAAGACTGTTACTGTTGTTTTGAGAGAAATAATGATAAATAGGCTCTTTGTATGCACCTTGTCGCTCCATCAGTCCGGCTCTTTTCCTGAAAAGAGATCACTTGGGACAAACTCTTTAAATAACACTTCATAACTTATATGTATTAAATAACCAGGAGACATGACAACAGATTATGATAGAAATTGTAATCTTACGCAGATCAGAGAGATTGCTTAGAGTTTACAGAAGGCGGCTGCTCACCTCTGGGCTCACCTCTCAGGAAGTGGCCCCGATTAACAGTTAAAAAGGCATTTTATACTTAATTCTGTACTTTGCCACGTACAGAATGAAGAGTATAACTGTGTATCCAGACAGAGGAACTGTCTTAGATAAACTATTGTGGAAAACATCAGTCCTGACAAGCAACAGGCAGCCAATACCAAGGTGTAATAAACTCACACATCTTCAATGATAATTATCCTCAACATTGGGATTGATTCTATGGCTGATTCCCAACATGACAAGTTGTAGCTCCTAGCTTTTGTTCCTAGTTCCTTTAATTTTACCTTTTGCGGGTCAACAGTAAAAACACTTTCACTAGGAGAGGAGCTCCAGACCTCTGTATTGAATCAAGACAAACTTCAGCCTTATGGGTGTCATTACGTGAAGGACATGAATGATGCTTGTCAAATTGGGACTACAGCCTTACATAAATCAAGTACAAAAAAAGTTAAGTTACACAATTGTAGTAAGGAGAAAATCATAAAACCGAGAGCCTATAAAGATGCATACATTTGCATGTGTCACACAGAGTAGATATCATGTAAAACAAGATATTTCACTTAAATTCTGTGAGGTGTTCTGTGCCTATATGTCCTGTCATGCAACAGATTGCCAGCATCTGCTTTGCTCCTGGTCTCTATGCTAATTAATCTACTGAAAGGAAGCACTGTTCTTACTGCCAGCACATTAATAAAAATACTTATGATGGCAACTGACCACTGACACACTTCCACTGTAGTTAGTGTCCTTACTGATAAGCTGGTTTTAGAAGCAGCCTGTAACTTAGTTCTGGTTCCTTTTTTTTGTAGGAAATGATTGTACATGACGTTAACTTTCAGTAATATTGTCTACTTGTGCTGTAGCAGCAGAAGTTTTTTTTTTTATGTTTCTACATGAATGTGAGTATGAAGATGCTTTAAAAACACAGTTTATCCTGTAAACTGTGGATTGCAGGTTGGAATCCATTATTGCTACAATTGCTAGCCTGGCCAGCTAAAAAACGAGATGTTTAGTGACTGATTTCACATCCAGAACTAGAGCACAACTAACAGAGACTGTGTCCAAATGTCCACCCTATTCACTATATAGGGCGCCAGCGTGTCCGAACGTCTAGTGGAGGAAAAAGTGGTGGTCTCAAAATTTCCCACAATGCACCTTGTAGTGATCATCCATGGTCACTAAATAAGAAGATATATCCCAGAATGCCTTGGGAGGAGAGCCCTCCCCATAAAACCTTATGGGATTTGTTGTCACAGCAGCAGAAACAAAGATCAGAAGGCGAATTGCATAAATTGTTAACATCTGGTGAAAATGTCGTGTCAGAAGCACCTCTAGAAATGTATTTACTGAGAAAAATGGAGGTGTGTTCAATACTTACTTTACCCACTTTATAGAGGAAGCTTACCAAGTTAAACTTTTTCTCTGAGCTGTCAGGATGGGTTCCCTGGTTTTTGTGAAGCTTTTTGTTCTCTAATGGTCTTGAAGTTGTTTTTCTTTTTTTTTTTTTATGTAAGATGAGTATAAAAGCCATTTGAAGGCACTTGCATAAGACCTGGGTTAGGATAACAGTGAGTGTGTCTCATAGATTGTTAGGGTTAACCTGAAGCTTTACATCATTTTCTTCTCAGGCTTTGTGGAGGTGATTCCTTGGTCCATGTCGAGGTTTCTAAATGTTTCTCGAGGATGGCTGCCTGAGCATGGTCCTGGTGACCTCCACTATTTTGGTCAGATCCCTGCTCTCAACGACTGCCTCTTCAGGAACATGTACAAATCCAAATATTTGGCATTGCATGACATTGACGAGCTCATACTGCCACAGACGGTCAAAAGGTAGAAAACACTTTTCTGAACAGGGCCGTCTTTTACAGTTACCTTTTGCATCTCTGCTTCTGTCTCCTTGAACCCCAGTCGGCCTCAGCAGATGGCCGCTCGCACTGAGCCTGGTTCTGCTGGATCATTTAAATTGTATTTTTTGACTGTTTAATAGGAAAGGAATAAAATCCTGGTTAATTTCACATTTATTTATTTTCTTATATATTGTTTTGCTTCTCACCTGAACAAATAAGGGAGGTCTGTTTCCTCAAACAAATTTGAAATTAACTTTGGTTTCTGCAAATTTTTTATTGCCAAGCAAACATGAGATGAATTAGAAAAGCACTCGGAGAGCGCAGACCTCCGCCAAGTAGCTCATTTCCTCCAACACATTGTTACTTAATGCCTGTATTCAGTAATTCTGTAATATTTCAAAACATTTTTGGATCCAGATTTATTAATTTGCTGCCAGTCACAATATGCACCTTATTTGAAATTTAATTAATTTAAAAACAGACAGACTGGGATGAAAGCATAAGCACCTTGGTGGAGATAAGTGCCAAAGTGTTTTTTTGAAAGATTAAAGGATATACATATATATTTTTTTGCATTTGTGTCACTGAAGACTTTTTTTCTCTCTCTACAGCTGGACGGAGCTACTGCCTCTGCTGGAGAAGAAGTACAGCCCGAATAAGTGTTACATGTTTGAAAATAACGTGTTCCCCAACAATGTCTCGCTACCGTCACCAAAGGAACAAAACCTACCTAAAATGGACCACTGGAAAGGAGTTCCTGGAGTGAACATCCTGGCTCATCTGCACCAGGAGCCCATCACTAAAGAGACGCAATATATCAAATTTAAGATCATCGTAAACCCTCGAGATATTTATTCGGTATCGGTTCACGGCGTGCTGAAATCAGACCATGGCTGCAGCTGGGTGGACAGGAACATGGCACGGATGTACCACACAAGGTGAAGCCATGCTTTCAATTTAGACAGAATGTTTAATTCTTCCATCATTAATACAAACCAGAGACTTTATATCCATTATTTCTTTTATCACCTCTCCATTTGAATCATTACTACTACCCCAAAGTGTGCTTTAAGCATTAAAATCTCCTCAGCAAATAACCTTACCATTTATATTTTCAGTCAATTCACCCATTTCCTCTAAACAAAGTTTTTTACAAGGGTTTTAGAAATTTAATATTTTAACAATTCCATTTTAATCAAAATTTCTACAGCTATCCATTCTAATTGTTTCCCTTTTCCTATAAATCTATATTGAATTCCCTGTTTTATAAAAATTATACATCCACCCCCATTTCCCCGTTCCCTGTCCCTTTGAACACTATCATATCCTTTTATCACAAAATCTAATTCTGTTTTAAGCCATGTTTCTTGCACACAAATAATATCGGGTTTATTTTTCTAATAATTCATGTAACCTTTAAACTCTTGTCCATTACTTATTAAGCTCCTAGCATTCCATTGAAGTAGAATCATATTCTCCCTCCCTGTGTTTTACCATCAGTCTTAAGCTTTTTGTTTATTAATTCCCAAGAAAGATCCTTTGCAGACAAGAATTTTTCTGCCCCATTTCACAATAATTTTGATGTTTTTATTTTTATTTTTTTGTTTGTTTTACCTGGACAGTGCAGTTAATAACATAAGCCATGAAGAGAATTAACTTATACATTGTTATATCCAATCCTAACATAACACTTTGGTTTTGTTCTGGTAATGCACTCTGCTGATTCATCATTCTCTGGTGGATATTTCTTTTTTCTTCCAGAACCTTCTTGGTTGCTTCTGTTTTTTGTGGTTTTAAGATGTTGAATTTCTGCTGCTCATTTCCTTGCTTCACAACCTCCATCTGCAACATTATGCTGACCACCACAGTTACAACATTTTTGTCTGAACATCATCTTTGCATTCCTCATATTTACGGTCTCCTCCACATTTAGCACATCTTTGTTTCCCTTTACAAGCCAACGCTATATGACCATATCTCTGACACTTGTAGCAACGCAGCGGTGGAGGGGCATACGGCCTAACTGGAAAACTCATGAAAACTGTTCTTATTTTGTCTGGGAGAACATCTCCTTGAAATTCCAGAAGCACTGACAAACCTTCAACCTTTTGACCATCCACTGATCCTAACAGCCTTTTCAGTCTTTTAACTTTACCTCCCTGGATACCATGTTGAATTTTTTTGAAGATCTTCTTCAATCAGGATGCCAGTGATAACTCCACGAGATACCTTAGTGTCTCCGAACAGTTTCCTTTCACAAACAACTTTGTTACAAACATTATCAATTTGCAAAGCTTTATTTTTCTGATCTTCAGTTTTACATTGAATCAACATGTTTCCATCCCGCAGAATTTTCAACTTGCCTAATTTCTTCTTCAGTTCTCTGGAAACTGCAATAGGGCTTAACATAATTTCCTCATCCTCCTTTCTGAATTTAAGTAATATTTTAAAATCATCTTTTTCCATTTTCCTTCGTACTGTTCTATTTTCCTCTTCTGAGCTGTCCTCCTCTAAACTTTTCTTCACATTAAGATTGTCATCTTTTTTCACACATCCTTTTCCTCTACCTCTGCCTACCGGAGTCCAGTTACCGACAGTAAGTCCATGTCCTCATCATCATCTACCTGCAATGTCATCCCGATCCAGTCACACTTCTGTTTATGCCAACCGCCAAATTCAATTTTTAAATTTTAAATATTCGTCGCCAGCTAGATCTCCACCGACTGTCCAACAAACGCCTGCGTCTCTCAAAACCAGGTAGCCGATTTGATCTAACCCAATGACACATGAGGGTAACAAATATAGTGGTTTGACCAAACCAAAAAACAAAGACGGGGGAAAACAAGATGGCTGACAATTAACTAAAGCAAACATTTAAACTAACTAAACCCAAGTCCCCCCATAGTGCAGCGCTACATGTAGGGCTTAACAAGCCAGTGACCAGATTTAAACCTTCTCAGCCTATTGCCACGCCTTTGCTTGTCAGGAAAGAGGCTCGTCTCTCACCATGGCAACAAACAAAAGAAAGAAATATTAACAAAAGAAAATACCTTCCATTGCTGGTATTTGCAAACCATAACAGCAGTGCAAGATAAACCAAATTACAAAATGAAAGAAAGAAATAAAAATAATACCACTGTGGGGCTCCAACCCCCACACCAATGCATTCAGATTTAAACATCTTTCTGTACCTTACGGTCCAGTAAAATATTATAGTACTCGTAGGTACGCCTAGTTACTCAGATGTTGTTTGAGAACTGAACTTCTTTTTTCAGGCATTAACATACAAATACATCTTCAAGTTAGATGAGTCATTTTTGTTTTTAGGAAGTTTCTTCAGACTGCCCCAACGGTAAAAACTAGTATTTCTCATTCGTGTTATCAGTCAGAGATATTAAAAGGTTAGGATTTTCCCTTTCCTTATCAGGACAAACATTGTCTTAAGGTGAGGCTATGAAAAACTGCAAATGGCTTCTACTTATCTTACGCTTTATCAAGTCTGAGGACCTCAAAGAAGTTTACACTGCATTCAGTCATTCACACACTGATGTTAGCAAGCTATGTTAGTAGGGGCAGCCACCTGGGGCAGACTGGCTGAAGCATGATCAGCGCGGCCAGACTTCCTGACCACCAACAGCAAACCAAAGAGTTTCCTTCAGATATCTTGGTTTATATCCAGACACATCCTCAGTTTCTCCAATCAGTCTTTCATTTATCTAAACGGCAGATATTGCAATATTCCATCTTTTTCAATTAAAGTTTTTTTTTTAAATTCTCATTTGAAGACTATTCAGAAGTGGGTGATGTATTAAAATCAGCCGGGGATCAGTCCTTGACAGTTTCACTTAAAGTAACATTTTATTACTAGATTATATAAATTAACCATTGTGTTCTTCCTTCTTTTTGTGCAGAGATCAAATGCAACCCTTGCTGACTTCAGATAAGATGATCTATGATGGCAGATTGCTGAGCTACAGCGCCCCCCTCAGTCTGGCTGTTGATACTGCACTTCAAGAAAGTGGCCTCTCTAAGGAGAGCAAAAACTTGAACTAGGACCTTCTTGGTAACACATCAGAGTGAAAACTTTTTTGCAAGTTTTCTGGTACTTTTATGGTAGGATTTATTTCTGTTATAAGTTTTGTAAACTTTTACAAAAGTTTGCTTTTGTGTTGCTAGAAAAATATTTTTTTAAGGATGCTTTAACATAAGAGAAAGTATGTATTTAATATTATAATATAATATTAATTTAAAAAAATCTTAAGAAAATGTGAACTATAAAAAAGAATATGAAAAATAAAACATGTTTCGGTTAATAGTTTTGGTTGATTGGAACAGATCTAAATAGCAGAGAGAGTTGCACTGAAAGTGTAGAGAGAGCTTACTGTATAATAATCCGACGGCTGCTTAAAGTCCTCAAATTAGAGTCCGAGTCAGTTTTATGGTAGCTGCTCAGGTTAGATTTCACTGGAGTGAAAAATGTTTACAGATCTTCCTAAATCAAAGGTTTATATTTAAAAAAAAATGTTTTTTGCTCAAAAACAAGCAAGGTTTGATGAAATGCAGTTTTTGTTATGCAGTTTAAAAGGTTTTTGTTCAACAGGTGCCATTTTTTTCTTTTCTTATTATTATTTTTTTTGTCTTTTTAAAAGGTTTCATCACCTAAGAGTCCATACATGTTCTTGCTTCTGACTCAGGGTTCTGGTTTCCCCAGTTTTTGCTTTTTTCTTGCAAGAAATGCCTCTGTCTCAGCTCCCTAACTCAACACAACTAAATTATTAGATATATTATCGTCTAGTTTTTGTAACTTTGATAATTACTATTAAACATGAAGTTAATCCATATCAGAAAATCAACAGATGCATAAATTAGATTTATTATTGTATAATGTTTTTGTTATTGTTTCCAGATATAGTCAGGGGAATGAAAGAATAAATTAATGTTTATAATCACATGTTTGAATTTAATGCTAATTAATTTTAAATATTGAGCTGTGGGAAAATAAATGATTGACTGATTGAATGTATAAATGAATCACGCACATGGATATAAATAAAAACAACTGAATTGATCAAAACAAATAAGAGCTGTATTGCTTTATTGTTGTTGCATTTCAATACATTTTCAATTGGCAAAAAGAACCTTTTACCTTCATTGTCTTTTCGAATTTTCTTTACAGTTCATGCTTCTGATCACAAAATGTTGAATTTATATCTTAATATATCTGTATTTATGTAGCATCTATTTCTACACCCTGCATTATATACAGTATATATGTTATATTTAAATCTAAATCTCAATTTTTGTATAATATATTCAATATATATTATCTAAATCTTCAATCTAATATATAATAGCTATATGTTTTGTTTTATTTTAAGTTTTTTATGAAAGATTTACAGATTTAAGTGTTAAACATACTGAAATACATAAAACATATAGATTCATATTTAAGATTTGGATATAAGATGTAAAATGTATCTATTTTTTAGAGAAACATATTATGTTATTAAGGTAATATGTAGGTAGTCAGAATATTCTGGCCAATAGATAAACGGAAATTATGCAAAATTGTTTTCAATAAGAACTAGAGTACATTTGATGCTACAGAACAGTTTATCTGTTTTTGCTTGACTAGCATTATTCTTTGACAGATTATTTCATGTCATTATTCACATTAAAAAAATATAATCAAATATCCTAAGGAGGATCGGAAAAATAAGGCGGTCGGGAATTCATTGATCTCCACTGTGAGATCAATGAATTCAATCAATCAATCTTTAAATATACAGTTTAAATAGTTTTCAATCTGAATAACTTGTAAATGCACATGCACCTGTATGTACATGTAAGAGATTATTGTATTATTAATATTTCTGATTCGTCTTACATGTGATTAAAATGAGATCTAAGGCGCCTCCTATTCATTCTGACAGCAGCTGTCTGAGCTGTGGTCTGATCCAAGATGGCCGCCCTCTAGGCACGTCGGCCAGCGTCCAATGAGGCGTCTACGTAGTGTCGATACTCCGCATTTCTACCCATATGATTAACGTACTGGCACTAACGTAACTGAACCTGATCGGCCACCGTAATAGTAGCTAGGTTGGCTAGGGAAGTGTTCTTAAACGTTTCTTCTGAGGTTTGTAGTTTACATTAGGAAATAACGCTTCGCCTTGTTATCGCGTTATTTGTCCTTTGGCTGAAGGTGAGGCTACGGGAGGGTTAGGTAAGTTGGTTGGTTAATACCAGCTAGTATTACCCATCAGCGCTGGCCCGGTTAGTTAGCAGTGATGTGTTTAAACGTCTCTGTTTGCATTAGTTTTATCGCTCAGTAAAAAAAAAGCTCGCGGACTCCACAGAGGTCAAAGGGCGATGCTGTCAGTCATCTGCAGATCGGCTCTGCCTAAATGTAAGTTTAGCCGTTTGTGTCTGTTTTTAACTCGCTGTTTGTTCATAGTTAGAAATGATTAAATGATTAGTTTAAGTGTCTGGTTGGAAAACCGACCTAAACGAGCTTCAGCTGGAATATAGGTGAAAGGTCAAAAAACTTTAAACCCTTTCTGAGGTTTGGGAACTTATTTTATTTCGAAATGATTTTCCTAAAAGTTTGAGAGATGTTTATTTATTAAATATTTAGTATATATTAAAAATTAACGACAAGTGATTCACATTCATAACAAAATAATAGTATCGTGCAATTATTACAAAACAGCAAAATCAGAATTAAAAAAAGGAAGTTGTTCAAGTAAAATAACATTTTATTCTATATATTATATAACATTTATTATATTTTAGCTGGTTTACAGGGAAAAAAAACTCCTGTAAGAATGATTGTAGGTGGAAAAAACAAACAGGTTAAAATAAATAAATTGTGCAGATAAAGGCATCAATTACAAAGAAATAAGGGCATGTATGAGATGAAAAAGCAACACTTGATCAGATAAAGAATAAAAATGCAGAAGTGAAAGGTATTGATTGGATGACCTCAGAATAACATCCATTGATCATCATTAATAATATAAACTCTCAGAGGTAAAGAAATGCACAGATTGATCAGAGGAAGGTGGATCATGATGAACATGGAGTAAAAAATAAATATGTTTTAAACGAAATATTAACAGTATGATAATAGGAATAATCACAATCCAAATTAGCTCAACAGAAAACAGCAAGTTTTTTTTATTTTTTTTTAATTATCGTTCACTGATTCCTGAAGTTCGTTCATCTAAACTTTTTTTGGTATTGAATTTTAAATCCTGATTTTGATGGGAATTTTTTTTTTTTTTTTTATGTTTTGCGTCTTTTAAACATAGATAAATTAATGAAAAATGACAATAAATTAAAAAATGATAATGACAAATTACAAAATAAATCTGTCTAAGTCATTCAACATGACTAAGTGCAGTAAAAACATTTTTTCCATTTACGAACCTCCAGCTAAATGTTATATAAAAAAGCTATTCTAGATGAAACTGTTGTTAAAGTGTTCCTTCTTCAGACGGCAGGTCGTGGCTGTCTGCCCAGGTCGCGGTCAGAACCATGTCCTCCTCTGAGGGACCCAGCCCTCCGTTCACCACGCTGGCCGTCAGCCGCCCGGCGGAGGCCGTCACACACGTCCAGCTCCACAGGCCCAAGAAGCTCAACGCCATGAACAAAGCTTTCTGGAGGTTAGGACCTCTCATTACATTAACAACACATGAAATGTATTGAATTTTATTTATAAAAATATAGAAGAAAATGTATCCATTTTTGAAAGATTTTTATTTTAAAACATGGCAAAATTAAAATAGTGATTCTTTAAACATTGAATATTTCCTTTTGTTGATGTTTATTAAAAATACATTTAATTCGTCTCTTCGAAAGCTTATGAAATAGAGTTTTGTTTCGCTGGCCTGAAAGATTTACCCTAAATTAGTGGAAAAAAGTGACATTTACAGCTATCAATATATTTAGGTATAGACCCCCCTGCTTCCCTGTTAAATAGTGCAACAGGTGGAGCGGCGCTTAATGATCAGGGCATAGAGCCTGGAATCCTCAGGTTCTGTGTTGGAGCCCCACTCCCACAGACTGCCACTCTGGGTCCCTGAGCAAAACCCTTAACCCCACACTGCTCCCCAGGCACCACACAATGGCAGCCCACTGCTCCCCAAGAAGTTAAATTTCTCCAATGTGAGATCAGTAAAGTTCAATTATTATTAAATATGAAATAATTTTTTCTTGTCAGTTTGCTACGGGCTGGAGTTATTTGATAAGGTTGTAGATTCTCCCCTGAAAGATGGTCGACACTTGACTGATGGTTTTCTTGTTTATTGGAATCTTAGCTTTGTCAACGATACTCCTTTTAACCAGCAACCATAAGAGCTAGGCAGAGCACAGAAGAAAAAATGACGGTATCAGTACTAAGTAAAATTATATATATATATATATATATATATATATATATATATATATATATATATATATAGGTTACGGAGACTTAATAATAAACAGAAGAAAGTTCTTCACGCATTTCAGAACACATGAACACACATTAACCATGTCTTATCACATAAGCACTAACCTTGTGCCACTTCAGAAGGTGCAATTACTTCAAATAAAGCTCAATATTTTTACTATCTTTCCTTCTTTTACTACGTTTCAATCTCAGCTTCTTCTTCTCCGTATCTCATTGTAGCCACTAACTAAAAACCCGGTCACATAGTTTCAAAATAACGTCCCTTAATACAAGGTAAAAATGTAAAGCATTGTAAATTAACTGAAATAATGGGGCAAAATTAGAAATCAGGTCATTTACAAAGGGGTTACTTTTTCTTTCCACTGAAATTTCTATGAAAACGGTTAGTAAGATTTTAGTCACTGCTTTCTTCAAAATAAGAAATAAAGGCCTGGAATATTTCTCAGCCTGTTTAAAGAATCTATAGTTTGCAGAAGAAGACTTTTACTTTCTAAAATGAGTGACAGTTCTGAGACCATAGATGGTTGCAGTTTTATTCTTTGCTAACCAAAGGATTTCCGTGTGTTTTCAGGGAAATGGTGGAGTGCTTTAATGAGATCTCTGAGGACCAGGACTGCAGAGTGGTGGTGGTTTCAGGAGCAGGGAAGATGTTTACAGCTGGTGAGTGCCATTTAATCAGCCTGTCAGCTCTCCTGTATTTATTCGCTCTGACGAGCTGCCGTCCAGGTATCGACCTGATGGACATGGCGGGCGATATGCTCCAGCCGGAAGGCGACGACGCGGCCAGGGTCGCCTGGAACGTCAGAAAACTGGTCGCCAAGTATCAAGAGACGTTCTCCGTCATCGAGAAGGTCGGTGTTACTGAAAGCTCTGAGGGTGAGGATCATGGCGGTGACTGAAGCTTTAGGGTTTCTTGTTTCTGTAGTGTCCAAAGCCCGTCCTGGTGGCCGTCCATGGTGCCTGCATCGGAGGAGGTAGGACGCCATCATCCTGCTCCGTCTGTGGAGCATCTTAAAGCGGGAAGTTTATTAAAGCCTTTATGTTGGACTTCGTCTACCTTTGATGCAGCAGCAGGAAAAGTTTCCATGAAACCTTTCATTTTAGTTGTTAAAACTGTTGAACAAAAATGCTCAAATTTAATGGAAGAAAAGATCCAATGTTGTAAAAAATGTTTTGTCATAAATGACCATTATTGCTCCTCTTACTGTTTCTGCAGCAGCTGGGATCTTCCATCTCTGTTCCCACAGTTCCTGTTTGGATAAACTTTTTTCCTCATTTATATTCAATTTGATTTATTCTGTCTGTAGATTTGGAGAAGTTTAGGAGAGTAAATACTTTCCTGTAGCCACTCCCCGACAGTCAGCAAACATCTGCATAACTAGAAATATTTAGTCTTTATCATTTAGAAACGGTAGAAAACAAGCCTCTGTGTCGCTTTTATCCAAAAGGAACACTTTGATCGACTTAACAGTAAATTAGACAACAGAATATACTTTGTGGAGTTTTTGATAATTGTGGCGCTAGAGAATTTTATTACTTTCTAAAAATTACTTTCAAACTCTTCTCCTTGCAATTAAAGATGGGAATTAAAGTTTTTTTTTGCCTAGCCTTTGGTGTCATCAAGTATGGAGAATTTGCTTTTTCATAAATCTCAAATAAAGTCTTTTAGTAGAATATATGCATACTTCCATCTAAATTAGATTTTTTCTTTTATGCAAGTTTATTTGTTCCTCATTATGTTAAATTAAATCAGTTCTAAAAACATTTAAAACAAAGCTTCAGCTGATAAATTAAATCCCCATTGATGTGATCCTAATATTAGAAGTCAGTGATTAAAGTCTGTTTCCTTCTGCAGGTGTTGACCTGATCACCGCCTGCGATATCCGCTTGTGCACCCAGGACGCCTGGTTTCAGGTCAAGGTCGGTTCCTCAGAGAAAACGATGCTCCGATCACCGGAAACCTTCAATCTGAGTCTTTGTTTCTGTCTGGTTTACAGGAGGTGGACATCGGTTTGGCAGCAGACGTAGGAACCCTACAGAGGCTTCCTAAAGTCATCGGCAGCCGCAGGTAAAAGCCGCCCTGGCCTCCATTGCAGGAACGCTGCTGAGCGTTAGAAGTTCAAAGGTCATGTGTGATGTGTGCAGCCTGGTGAACGAGCTGGCTCTGACCGCCAGGAAGATGTACGCCGATGAAGCAAAGAGCAGCGGATTGGTCAGGTAAAAACCCTCAGAGCCACTAAATACCGGATGATGAAAATATAAAGACAGGAAAACTTGATAAATTTAAAAAAAGAAACTTCCAGAGAAAATCCATCAGTAGAACTTGAGTTTGACCCTTTAAGCTGCAGAGTTTTAACATTTAAACTCGTGTCACAGCCGAGTGTTTCCGGATAAGGACGCCATGATGGCCGGAGCCCTGGAGATGGCGGGAGAGATCGCGGCTCGCAGCCCTGTGGCGGTGCAGGGCACCAAGCTCAACCTGATCTACTCCAGGGATCACAGCGTGGCCGAGGGACTCGACTACATGGTGGGAGTCTGCTCGCCTTCATAAAGCTGGTGGTTTGGATTAGGAGCCTGGTTATGGAAGCATATTGCATTCACCAAAGAAAAAAAAACCTGACAGCTTATCTCATAATCACGAGATCTTATCTCATAATTATGAGATAAGATCTCATAATCCTAAGATAAGATCAGGAAGGACATTCATTGCCGAGCTACGCTACATGAAACATGAACAATGAGCGGTCTGTCAGATTTAATATGCTTTGATTTCCTTTTAGGTATGCAACACTGGGAAATACTGAGTTTTCTCAATGTGGACGGAATTAGTTTTAGTTTGTCAGCACTGCGCAGTAAGTCCTTAGAATTGTTTAGGCAAAAAAAGCCCTGTTCCTGCAGGATCAATTAAACCAGTACATGATGCTTTATGGCGATAAATTAGTGCATCTGAAATCCATTCAAACTGGCTGGTGTCCCAAAAAACTGCCAACCGGTACCTTCTCTCCTAGATCCTCAAAGAGTACAGCTGAGGCTTCAGAACAGTTTAAAACGACCAGGTCCGAAATATATGTGGCATATCGATTCATATGAAAAACTAAAACCATACAGAATCTTAATGGAGCTGTTGACAGATTTTCGCGTATGGTCATAAGGCTGCATGATTAATCTACAAGTAGTAATCCCAGGGTTATAGCTGGGTACTTTGTAGATAAAGTGTAAAACAGGAGCAGAGCTCATTCGCGTATCAGGACAGACCTGGGTTCAGAGAACTGTTCAGTGGAACAGATGCAGATATTTTTAAGAAGTAATCATGAAGACCAGTTTCCTTAGAGCTGCTTCATTACTGGCTCAAGTAATCATAATCAAATATATAGACAAGATCACGTAATTATGAGATCTTTTCTCATAATTACGAGATACTGATCTTGTAACTATGAGCTGTCTTTTTTCTTTTCTTTGGAGAATGCAATAAGCTTCCGTACCTTGTAGCCGACTGCAGGAAGCTAACTGTGGGTTTCTTCCAGGCTACGTGGAACATGAGCATGCTACAGACCCAGGATGTGATGAAGTCGGCTCAGGCAGTCATGGAGAAGAAGAGCCTCAAAGAGACGCTGTTCTCCAAACTGTGAAGCTCAGAGCTGCTGCTGTCGTTCTTCCATCTTTAAGAGGAGAGCAGATTGTTCTCTCCTCAGACCTCCAAGCTGCTGCCAGGATGAAACCAGTCTGAACATCTGAGCTTTAACTCCTTTCTAATTGTATCATTTCATCTCGTTTTGTAAACTAATCATCTTTAATAAAGTCATCTGAATTATTTCTAGAGTACACTAAATATTTTGAGGCAGATCTTAAAACGTTCCGGGTTTTATTAAATTAAAAAAATCATGAAATAAATATAACATTTAAAGTGAGCTGGATCCTTCATAACCGTCGAGTCTGCTTCGCACGAAGCTTCTGTAACGTCCTCTGTGGAAAGATAAAAGAGAAAATCAGTTCAGCTGCAGACCATCAGCGCTCATCTCTAACGCTTCGGCTCTGACCCTGTGGAACTCCTTGGCCTTCAGTCTGTTCTTTGCACTGTCCTCCTGTCGGCTGCGGACGGCCCTCTGCTGCTTCACCTCCTCCAGCTGCTCATAGAGCCTGCAGAGAGAAAAGTCTGTTCACACACTGAAACTCAGAAAAGACGAGAAGTCGTCAGGATCATCCATGCGGTACCTCAGAGTCCTTTTCTGCATCTCAGAAAGGTTCCGTTTCCTTTGCTCTGGAGAGCTGATCTTAACCTCTACTGGGACCTTGGAACTGGAACGACTCTCTAAAGAAAGAACCAAGAGAAAAAAAAAAACTTAACCCGGATTTCTAGATTGAAATTCAACCATTTTATGACCTTCAGTATGTGTTTTAAACATAACTGAGACACTGCCTTGTTTGGAGTCTAACTTGCATGGTCTACAGTAGGGATAAGAGTAGTATTTATTTATTTTATATGTAAATGTTTTCATCTTAAGGGCGGATTATACTTCTGCAACCGCACACATCAAATGTCGCCTTGGTCTGGTCGCGAACCAGTTTTGCTGGTATGCTTCTGCACCGTCCGTCTGGAATTTCTAGGGACGCACAGCAGTTTCCCGCCAAAGCGCAAGGGGGAGCCTATTGGAGGCATGATCACGAGAACTTTGTTTTAGCAGAGACCTTGGCATCTTTATATAATTTGTATCAGGCATCGTACAAGTGGTTGTACTTCTGAACCTCCTGGATTAACTTTTCGTCATAGTTTACCATTGTATTTGTTCCTCGGTTTTTAAAAATGGCGCGACCCGGCACCAAATCGAGAAGATAGACCACACAGACAGCCGGAAAGACATACCAAGGCCCAATGACCTCTGCTTTTTGTCCGAGCACTTACGCTTGAGGTCTGCACGGGTTTGCAACCGTCCGACGCGTAGTCAAGATTTGACACACACAGATTTGACGATTGCAGAGGCTATGGGTCAGACAATAAATTGGCCTTTAACTCAACCAATGCTGATTTAAAATTCAATCATTAAACAGACTCCCTACAATTGATTCATTGCTGAAAGAAGCAGCAGAGGAGCATCAGCCAATCAGATTGGAGCTTTTTTGGCGCTGCTGTTGAAACAACAGAAAACAATCTGAACCACACTGATGGTTAATTTGATTTGCAAACAAAACAGTTTCTGGTTTATGGAGACTCAGAGTGTCTTAACACTGCTGGGGACAATATTTACTGAGATGCATTATTCCATGCTTCACAATTGTGATGGTTAATGAGGCATTTTGAAGAGTTTCTTTACCAAACTATTGCTTCTGCGTTGAATACTGACACCTGCTGGACCTTTAAAGACACTACAGGCAGCTTCTTTGACAGACTAAACTGATATTAGTTGAATACCCAGTACACTGATATGTTATTGTAGGTTACATTGTATTATTTCATATCTATGTTTACATTGATAATATCTTTGATATTTTTAGATGAAGCCAATAAATAATGTAAACATATATCGCAACGTGAAAATTGCTTGTGGACTAGGATTTTAAATCATTTTTAAAACAATAAGTACAGTAAAAAACAGTAAAAAAAAAAAAAAAAAACTAAGTCAATTTGAAATCAACTTTAATTCAGATAAGTTGAGTGATAACTGAGAGGAAAAGAGACAACATGAAAATTAAAACAAAAACGCAAAGGCTGAAACCGTCCTGTTCCTTTTAGGCTGCTACAAAATTCTTCATCATTTTAATAATAAACCGCAAAAGATAACATTTTTTTTAGTTGATGCATCATGTTGACAGATATGTTTTTAAACACAGTTTAGTGAGTCAGTTCGCTAGAAACAACTCCTGTATCGGTCACGACTTTCTTGAAATGACAAATGCAACACTGATGCACCGACGCATCAGTGTTGCTGGACCCATCACTACTTCCCATCTACATATTAACCCTTTTTTCTGTGCTAGAACTCTGAAAAGCCTTTCTATCTATCAGAGTTATGACGTTAAATCAAAAACCAAACTGATCAACATGTTGACGAAAACGTCGCACTGGAACAGAAAACCAAAGGTTACACAGTTCAAATCTTTCTAACATTTTTAGTAAAGAAAACTAATCCAGATTGTTCCA